GCTGTTGGGTTCCCTTGCCAACATTGTCATTTAATTTAAATGGCTCTCTCATCTTCCTGTTGTTTGCCTCTATGATATATTTATACACAGCAACTGGACCCCTTAACAGCCTTTATTTTGCCAAGCTAAACAAGCCAAGCTCTTCATTCTGTCTCCTCATATGATAGTCTCTCCTTTCCCCTGATCATCCCAGAAGTCCATCTTTGTACCTGAACGAGTCTGAGGTAATGTGCTACGAATGACAAAGTACAACAGTCTTGTATAATAGCATAATAAAAGAAACCACAGTAAGCAGAGTAATAATTTCATGCTTGCAAAGATGTGCTGTGCCAAATATCTAAGAGGTTAAGTAAAGGTTTTGAAATCTTCTAAGGGGACCTTTATTAGAAATAATGTGGCTTTTTTTTCCCCAAAGTGGTTGATTAAAATTGCAGTATGAAAAGTTTTAGTGTTTTAATCAAAAGCTGGAAAATCAATGAAAACTGTTTTTTGGCTGAGACCTTCAGCCAACATAGCATGCAGTTGATTAGATTTGTGATCATTGAAGAAATGGGTCTGCCATATTGGAAGTTTGTTTGACAATTATGACAGAGAAAATTTCTATGAACACTGTATAGTATATAATGAACCTTTCCTGGAGAAGCCACAATTGCTTTCACACATTGCCCTTAAGAAATTTCAATTACAGGGTTTGGGGGGCTGGTTCCCTGGAGTTAGCTCTGGAGAGTGCTCCTCTTGGTGTAAGCCAATAGAATACAAAAGACAATGTGGGTACAACTTATCCCACCACCTCCTACTATCACAGAAAAAAGGATGTTTGGTCAAATCAAGCATCCCCTGGTCTCTTTTGCCATAGCTTCTTGGAAAACTTCAGGACACTCCTGACTGCCAGCTGTTAAGACTGTGACAGCAGTCTTTTTCTGGCTGCTTTACTTCTAGTCCTTACTGAGTTGATAGTTTAATCAAGTTTCTAGGGGAGCTTCAGACAAAAACTTTTTTCCAGTCATGCTGAGCCTGACATCCCGGTGCTTGGTGTCAGGATCACTGGAGAGTAGGATGTCTCTCTTAATTGTGAAGGAGAGACATTAGGGGAACATTTGTTTTTCTACAAATCTTCTTTTCTCAAGAATAAACACACTGATTTCTTTTGTATCTTTTCTCTGCCCTGTAGCATAAGGTAAAAGAGCTTTTGCAATATGCTGTAGGAAAAGGGAAGCACAATTTTAAGTTACTACATGCGCATGGAAGATCAATGAAAATTAAAAGCTTTTAAAAAATAAGCAATTTCTTAAGCAAGAGCAAAGGGAAATCCCAACCATGATTACAAGCAGTTAAGTAGACAGTTAAGGAAATACATGTCAAGGCACTGCATGGGTGGCTGCTTCCTGGAGACTGGGAGCAGGAGGAATCCCCATGGAGACTAGAGGGCTGAGGGCAGTCCCAGACCTGAGCATCAGGCACCTCCCTGGAGATGAGATAAGCCTGGGATGGGTGGTGGGCCCAGCTTGGTGGGTCCCATGGGCACGGCATGGCAGGGCTGTGTGGAGCTGGAGGCCAGCCCTGCTGTGGCAATCCTGAGACAGGGGCTGATGGCCCCAGGGGGGCTGACATGTGGTCCTGGGGGCACTGATAATAAATTAAATGGAACTGTAATTCTAACAAACATTTCTGATGATAACAGTCATAGTCAAATAGTTGATTTGGTAGTGGAAGCTGTCACACGCTGTCTGCCCCCATGGTGGCCTGTGGGTCATGGGAAATAGGTGCTCCTTCATGCATCCCAAAGTGTTCTTCAGTGATTGACAAAATCAGCTTCACATTTTGTCCTATCCTGACTACCTGTGAACAGCCAGATCTTCGCAGTGCACAATCAGACTGTCTGCCCAGAAGGACTTGCCATGCTTCCCCAGTGTGGCAGCCTGGACTTGAAGTATGAAGGGTATGAAAAGCAGCTTGAAGAGCTCTTTGCTTTCCCTGGATGTTCCTTCAAGGATCCTGGGAACTGTGGCTTGTAGATCAATGGGAATATAGGGACTTTCACTGACCCCTTTAGTTAGGGTATCTTGGCAAACCTGCCAAAGAAAACTTCAGCTTTCCTTCTGCTAAGTTTGGTTTCCTGATTGGTGGTGCCTTGGGGCAGAGGGGTCATGTGTATGGGAACGAAGAAAGATGAGAGGCTTTCTCCAAAACAAATCTAGATAGAATCAATAGCTTCATATTACTGCGCTGAGAGTAACAAAAATTATTCTATTTAGCGCATGTGATAAAACTCTCAACAACTGGCATGGAAAAAACAGCCTGAGGCATCTTGCTGTGCAAAAAGCTGTGATGTTATTGTAGCTCTGTTAGGTTAAGTTGCTAGTGTGGCAAAGTCTGCAACCAAAGCTGCTTCTTTCCTTAGCCTAACAGGTGGCTAGGAGCATTTTGGTGCTGCTGTGTGATGTCTGTGAGTGAAATAACACTTTTATTCAACTCAGCAGCAAAATCCCATGGGCTTTTCAGAACAACAGAATGCTGTATAATGGAGAGTATTTTAATTAATACAGTGATGTTCATCCTGAATGTTTCTATTGCTCACCATATTTACTGTGGCATCACTTAATTAAAATGGAGAAGATATGTACAGGCATAAATATTACCTCGAGATATTTTAAAGTTTAATGAAATAAAAAAAGCTCTTCCACAGAGTGTAAAGCATCTACATTATCATGCTACTTGGTAAAACTTCAGAGGATTGAAATTACTCAAGTCCTATCTGTGTTCCAGGATGTGTCTTCTTGGGAGGGTTTCAGTGTAGTTGCTACACCTGTAAAATGACTCCAAAATAATACATAGTGGAGAAAAAATATCTTTAAGGGTCTGTTTTTAAACCATGTCTCCTGTGAACAAGGTTTGTGAAAATCATGAGTAACGCCACTTTTTTGCATTCAGACCATCAGATTTTAATCTCATTTAGACTGATGAAAATTCAGAGTAGCATCTATAAACTATGAAGAGTAAAGGCAAATGAGGTCAGAATTTGACCCACTATGCCTTGGTCCACCCTTTCTGTGCTGATTGACAGAAGACTCTTCTTTGTTTCTTGTATTTTGTGAATTGTGCTGAAAATTCAGCTTTTCATTGAGAAAACATGATTAATTTTCTTTAATTAGGTCTAGATAGTTGCATATTGTCTTTTAAAGACAGTAGTCTTGATCCTTCCTCCATTCAAATTAATGAGAAAACTTTCACTGAATTATTTTAAAGGACAAACATTTTGTAGGGCAAAGAATTAATTTCTGTAAATCCCATGTACCTCGTACAAAAATCTCTACCTTGCTTCTTGTAAATTGTCATGCCAGATGTGTTTCAGAGGTTATGGGTAATAACAGTGTGATAACCTGATTGTCACATACGTAGGAAATGCTTTCTGCTATTCATAAATAAATAGATGGATAATTGCTCAATATTCTCCAAGAACTAGCTGCTCAAGACTGAAGTTCCCTAAATAAATTTTCTAGAAAATTATTTATCAACAAAAAAACCTTCCTATAAAGCTAAGTTTTCCTTAATGTGTCTGCACCAATTTAGCTGTGATTACAGCTGGTTAAGATTTCATTACTGCTTCTATCCTTATGTTGTTCACAATCCAATAAATCTTGTTCTTTCAATTCAGAGCAAGGAAAAAAATACACAAATACCAAGTTGACATTTACTATTTTGAGAGATTTCACATACAGTTTGTTAAAAAATAATGGATGAGTGTGTTATGCGCTGTTCTGACTGGTATTAACTGACACCGTAGTAGTCCTACTTTATTCCCTAAATGGTAGTGTTCCTTGTATGACTGTATTGTTATTAGGAGAACTATATAAATTATTTAAATAATGGTCAGTTTGTAGAGTTGAACAGAATTGTTACTGTTTCCTTTAAAAAGATCACAGCTTCCCAGAAAGCTATGTTCTCCTTGCTGAGGAAAGACCTCCATGGTCTCACAGTCCTCAGAATCTCTGTGGCACCACCAGTCCTGACACTGAGCCTACCTGGACACGTTTCCATGCCAGCTGTCTCTGCAATGCACTTGACCTACAAAACCTTGTTTTATACTGTAACCATACTGCTCTGTCAAGGTCAGGGCAGAGTTCAGGGGATCCACAATGTGGAATCAAATTCTGTTTGTTTATGCAAACTAATCAAATGCATGAATGAGCTTTAATCAACACAAGAACCTGCCTCCCTCCAGTGTTATGGCTCTGTTCCCTGTATGCCCTGCAACATCCCCAGCTTTCCAGGAACAAAGCTCCTAGCTCCCTGCATGTCTGCCATACCTCCATGGGATTTGGAGTTGTCACTATGTCCCCAGCCTTCCTTTGCTTTGTGGGCTGTGAAAGCAACTGGCCTGTAGCTCTTGCTGTGCTGCGGGTTTTCCATCTTGGCCAGCCAAGGGAGTCACACATTCCCCCTGAGCAGGTATAACTCTACAGACTGCCTGCAGGGTCACTGATACATGGGCCAAGCTGGACACATTTCTTCTCTGCTGTCATTTTGCCATGTCATTGCACTGCATTGCACATATTCTGCAGAACTGCTCTCAATGAGGAACCCAGCACATTACGTACAAGCTTTTTGCTTCCCTCATTATGGCTCCTTTTCTTGGGATGGAGGAGGTTACTTGGTGTTGATTGCCAGATTTAAGCAGAAAGCTGAGACTTGTGGTACCGGCTCTTTGGAGGCAATGGGAGTGCAAGGTTTTACCAGCTGGGTTGGTATCATACCTGCAAACACATTGCCTAGTGTATTCTGGATTCTTCAGGTCACTCTGCTCTGTCATGGCTTTGGAAACACATGGATAAAGTCAATGGGAGTTTCTAAATTAAAGAATATAAATATTTTCAAGTCACTTTAAGTCTGGAAGACTGTGTTTTCTAGCTGGCCTGCTGTCTGGCTGGCAGAGCAAGCAGAACATGCTGCTTCTCTCTTTGTTCCTGGCATGCAGCCCCTGAGCCTTATCTTTTCTCTAGGGAGCAGCAGGGACCCCAGTCAGCCTCAGGTGGGAGCAGCAGAGCGATGGCACAGGGGCACCTCTACCCTCGACTCCCTCCTCCCCCCTCCGGACCTAGATTCTAGCGAAGCCCCTGCCCTGGGAGCATCCCTCCACACAGGTATTACTGCACACCACGAGCCGTTCTGCTGACACACAGGAGCTTCCAGGTGGAGCCAAGCTCCTGAATAACTAACATTAAGGAGATGCTGTTGCAATAGCATGGCTGGAAAGCAACACTTGAGCTTCCTGCAGATGTCAGCTCCAGGAGGGGACCAAAATGACTTGCATCATCTCTTGTCTTTCAAAGGCTCATCCAAATTGCTGAGCTGTCAAAGCCCTCGAGGACTGTTGAGGATTCCCAAGGACATCCTCAATGCACATTATTTTCACTGAAATTTTTTAGCATAATGAGTTAAAAATAAGCATCCTGAGTTAACAACTTAGTGTAATGAGGAACTCTTCAGCAGGCGTTGTGGACTTTTATGACCATACCGGGTGTCTCACAATATTCGTATTAGATTTTGCCTGTCTTTTAAAAGCTCCATTGCTAGTATCACATTGGTTATACTTTATTTCCAGTTTTAAAATGCCTCACAGTGCTGGAACATATTTTGAAATTGCGAACCCAGCTCAAAAACTGGAAAGCAAACACTAACTGAAGTTATAAAAATGTCACAACTTTAAGCCCAATATTTTAAAATGTCTGACTCATTTGGAAAGCTCAGCATTCTCTGTATTAATTATGGCTCCAGAAGATCTATCTCAACAGTCAGAAAGCAACTCCATTTGTAGTCAAGGATTGCAAACACAGTCTTCCTGGAACTGAAAGTTGTACATTGTGCAATTTTTATGGCTTGTATGGCTTTTCTATTTTTAGTTGGTTGAAACCTGCAATACATCATATAATCCTCCTTAAATTGTCATTCATAATGCTAATTGCCATTAACTTGGCATAAATTATTTCTTAAATAGTTACTCTTTCACCTAACAATATTACATAGACAAAACTGTATTTTTCTCTGATGTAAAGTTGATGTGAGTACAAACTACTAATGATGTTTTTCTACTTATGAACTTCTAAAAAAATATTTAAAATCCCCACAGTATTTTCTTTTTTTCTTTTAAAAATATACATGTGTTATGAACTCCAATAACTGTTCCATTACTTCAGCAAATCATTTATTTAATATTTGCCTTTATAGATATTTGGAAAATTTCTCTATTAGACTTTCGAGAAAGTCTAATAAAATCGTACTTTTCAGCTTTTTTGAAGATAGAATGAGAAGAACAATTCTGGGTTTTTTCCTTTCTAGAAATGCATCTTCAAGGTATAAGAGATCAGTCAGTAACAAGTATTTGCATAGAACTGTCCAGCCTTGTTCTTGCTTACTTAAATAGAGGTAATGTCATGTATTTGGCTACCTGCAGAAATGGTTTGTACAACATTGTGTCATTCCCTGGCTGAGCAGAGGGCAGGGGACCTAAGCCTGCTGCTGGCACACCAGTTCATGACTTTTGTATTATAATCATAAGTGTTGTTGACAACATTCTTATTTTCTAGGCTTTCCTCCTTTAATTATAATCCCTCGTCTTTGACACATATGCTTATTTCAACAAGTCCAAGGTGTGTAGATTCCTTGGTGTTTGCTCTTCCACAGGGTGAATTCTAGTGCCTGAAAGTCCAGTGCTACAGCCAAGCCATCCTACAACAATAGCATGTGCTGCCAAACATTTTTCCATTCAAGATTTTGGTTTTTCTTGATGGTAAAAATTAATAACAGCATCAGTAAGTACAATTAGAATAAAGATTTTTTTTTTTATTTTTTTTTTTTTTCAAACATGACAGCTATCTTAGGTCGAGTATGTGGCATCCCCCCAGCTGTAGAGAGTTTCTCTAAATATGGCCATTTTATAGCAGGGTGGTTTTGCAGTCCTAGAATGGACTCACAAACTGTTGACGGACTTTTTTTTTTTTTTTTAATTTATGTAGACTTTTTTGGCATGCAGTCAATGATGCTGTGTGGGATGAATTGAAAAGATTTAGTAGAATACCAGATTTTGGAATTTACTTTGATTAAATGAGTTACACAACTTACTATGGAGGCATAGGATGTATATATTGTTCAAATTACATTCTTAATTAATAAAAATAAGGAAATATTTATTCAACATGGGGACTTTGTTCTAATTTTTCTGAAAGCCTTGGGAAGTATTTTCAGTATGTACACAGTGGAGGCTCAGCCGTTTGGTTTGGACTTGCTTTTTCAGGACAGCTGTGCTTACTAATTGGCTACTGGGTGCTCTGGAGAGCCGCCCTTTAACTTTCAGCTGGGCAGGTTTGAAAAAAACTCTTTTACCTCTGAAATTCCTGCAGTCTGCACGTGGACAAATGCAGATAAGGAAAATCTCTAATCTGTGTGCTGTGCAGTGGCTACTAAGAAAGCAGTGGTACTGAAAGCTCGCTTAAACACTTTCACTAGGGATAGAAACCTGAGTGAGGTTTATTCTCTCTAGGATTGAAATGAACACATGAGAATACTCTCTGTTACATCTTATTTCTTAAGATAACTAAGTGTGTATATATATATGTGTAACAAGAGGTGAATTTGCTTCCTCATAAGAGGAAAACTGGCTAGTCTTCCTTTTCCCAAACCACAACTTGGTCCAGGTTGGTGCCAGCGGAGCAAAGATGTGACTGGGCTGCCAGCAGCAACCGCACCAGGTCCTTGCCAAGGCCTGAGTCCACCACACGTGCACAGGAGAAGCAGCCCAAAGTAATTTCTCAGTCACCCAAACTTCCTTGAAGGCAGATGAAAAATATTTAAGGAAATAAATAAGGAATGCTGAGACATTACATAACTGCTGGGTCAGACTGTTTTTAACTAAATAAAGAAAAACAGTAATGTCTTCATTTATATGCTGCTTTTTTACCTGCTTTCTTAACTGATTTACCAATCATATACAATCTGTATCTTTTGAATTTGTATTCCAAGACACAATGATGCCTTAATTTTTAGAGACATCCACCAATTCCCTTCAGCAACACTGACATCCATATTGCTTTTCTGTCATACACCTCCACATACAAAATAGGAACTTGAAAATTTTATGATTAATTTTTTCAGATTTACCTTAATTATTAAAAATTATTTTCTAGTTTCATTTGTGTCAACTAAAAGCTAACACAGATCCTTTTCTTAGCGTTGTTTCTTAAATTACTTGTTTTGTACAATTATGACCAGATTCTCCCCACTTTTCCTTCCAAGAAACAGAGTTCCAGATGAGGAGTTGTGACTCGAGAGTCAAATGAGCTCATTTCCCATTTAGGGAGCTCAGTGGGGGTGAGGTTTTGACTCTTCAGTACTTACTTTTTAGAAATACTGAGTTCTCTGCCCCTCTCAGCCAGAAGTGTGCCTGCAAGCAGAGGTCTGTGTACGGATGCTTTGTAGAAAATCCATCCCAAGCCATTTGAGTTTGTGACTTCATTAACACAAAGTTGGCAGGGTGAGTTATAGCAGGGACTGTGAGGGGTGGACACAGCCCTACAGCCTCTGTCAGGTCTTAACATTTGCCATCAGGTGTTTCACTGTGGCAGATGCTGATAATGAGGTGCTAAATACCTGCTATTGCCTCCCATTTCTGGATCCATTTCTGGATCCAGGCCAGTTTATCAGTCAGCTCAGGAAGGGCACTGATGTGCCTAAATTAAGGGCACAGCCTCTCTAGAAAGGGCAGCGGTGGCTCAGAGGGGCAAAACTGAGACCTCCCAGCACATCCCAGAGTCAGAATGCAGTGGTGTCCTCTCACTGGGAGGCTGGAGCAACACCAACCTCTACCCATCATCTTTTTCTATGGAAAGAAAATCAGGGGATGCTTTCCCTGATAGACAGGAGTCATGGTTGGCTTTAGCAGTGGTCACTGTAGCTACATAACTGAGGATGAGGACAGGCCTGAAGCCTTAACATAGCCTCAGAGAGCTCAGGCTCCATTTCAAAGACACTGCAGATTATAGGTGAAACCTAAACTCCTATCTTAGTAACACAAGTGAAATACTTAAAGCTGAACAGTGTGAACTTATGCCAGTGCAGATGATTTTAACTTCATGTAGGCTTGTAAAACACCCACTAGAATTGTAAGAGCTCTTTTTAATATCTTTCCATGGCTCTGGACAAAAATTACTTTCTAAGAAAAGAAGCTAAGGAAGTTTTACTCTATCCTAGTGGAAAATGGAGAAACTTCAACCCTTTCTTTAAAGTTAAGAAAGGTAAGGTGTTTGGCTAGTTGCAACAAGACAAACACAATTCACTTAGAATTTATCCCTGTTGACATTGGATTTTAAGAAATCACAGACATTAAAGAAACTTGAATCTGGCAGCAGGTAATTTTAATAATGTTAATGGAAGACCAAGCCCATGCAGAGATATTTATTTGCTTCTTCCTTCTCTCTTCCTTCCCTCCTCAAAGCAACTATGCTGTATTTTCAGCTTAGCCTGAATTTTTGCTCTGAATTAAAAAGCCAGGTGAAGATTTGAGCAGATTAACAGTGACAGGCTGTTCAAAAAAAGATCAAAACCAGCTCAACCTGTACCTGCAGAATAACTCTTTAACTTCATTCTTTTCAAGTGAAGAAATTGCTGTCCAGGAGTTTTGAAACCATGACATTAGAAGAGGCACGTAAATATGGTTTGTATAAATGAAAGCTATTAAAGTGGCTGAGGCCATTTTCAATGCCCAGGTGAGGTATCTGCATGTTTTTGTGCTGCTCCCTGTCAGCATGAAGGCATTGGTATTACTTAAATCAGCTAGGCTGACATTTATTTCTTTACTTTCTTTGCCACAAGTTCTGAAGTCAGTGGAAAGCCTGCAGGATTATTGGGAAATAATGACAGTCACTGGGCTGGCACTGCCAGAAATGAAGTAAGACTCTCCTTTAACCTCTTTGCAAATAGTAATGACAAGCGAAGGCCAAAGCTTTGAAAAATGCAAAGACCACTCTGGAACTTCACAGTGCTAGTCTTCTTATCAGTGACATGAAGCACAAGAGCTCAAAGTTTGTTCCACCAAGCCCAGCAAAAGTCAGGATAAGACTGGTGTGAAGTAGGGATGCTGTGCAACCTC